GCAGCATGCTTTAAGTGGGTTGGACTTCAACCCCCAGAACCCCCCAGTCAACATTCTTAAAGATGGGTAGACTTCAACCCCCAGAATTCCCCAGCTAGCTTATTTTAAGATGGGTGGACTTGAACTCCCAGAATCCCCCAGCCAGCATGCTTTAAGTGAGTTGGACTTCAGCTCCCAGAATCCCCCAGCCAGCATGCCCTGCCCCACTCTGACCTCCCCACGCTCTGCAGTTGTGCAGCTGAGACGCCATTTTCTTTCACCAGATGCTGGAGAGCATGGTGAAGAAGCCTCGCCCCACCAGGGCCGAAAGCAGCGATGTGGCCAACGCTGTTCTGGACGGGGCCGACTGCATCATGCTGTCCGGGGAGACGGCCAAGGGGTCTTACGTGGTGGAGGCCGTGCAGATGCAGCATGCGGTAAGGGAATCCTTGAGCACTCCGAAGCCGGCTTGCCCTCAGGTTGGCCTCGAGCGGGGCAGAAGAGTAGAGGAGGGCGGAAGAGGAGAAAACAAGACAACCAGTCTAGGAAGGAAAAGGTTGGGTTGAGCATGGCCATGATGGAAGAGGAAGAAGGGAGGAGGAGGGAAGAGGAAAATGAAGAACAGAAACCTATGGATCCAGGAGATGTTTGAAGGAAGACGTCTGTTTGAGTATGGTCACAGCAGAAGAGGAGGAAGGGAGGAAGAGAAGGAGGGAAGAGGAAAACACCCAACCAGCCTAGGAAGCCAGGAATCTTAGAAGGAAAATGTTGGTATGAAATGCTCACGATAGGAGAAGGAGAAGGAGAAGGAGAGGGAAAAGAGGAGGAGGAGGAGGAAGAGGAGGAAGAAGAAGAAGAAGGGAGGAGGGTGGAAGAGGAAAACAGATGAGTCTAGGAAGGCAGGAATCTTAGAAGCAAAATGTTGGTATAAAATGGTCATGATAGAAGAAGGAGAAGGAGAAGAAGAGGAAGAAGAAGGAGGAGGAGGGGGAGGAAGACGAGAAGAAGAAGAAGAAGAAGAAGAAGAAGAAGAAGAAGAAGAAGAAGAAGAAGAAGAAGAAGGGAGGAGGGAGGGAGGAAGAGGAGGAGGAGGAGGAAGAAGAAGAAGAAGGGAGGAGGGTGGAAGAGGAAAACAGACGAGTCTTGGAAGCCAGGAATCTTAGAAGCAACATGTTGGTATGAAATGGTCATGATAGAAGAAGGAGAAGGAGAAAGAGAGGGGAAGGGGGAGGAAGAGGAAGGCGAAGAGGAGGAGGAAGAGGAAGAAGAAGAAGGGAGGAGGGTGGAAGAGGAAAACAGACGAGTCTAGGAAGCCAGGAATCTTGGAAGCTGTCGAGGTCACGGATGGAAAGTTGCCAATGAGCTTCCTACCTTTTTCTCTCCTCAACGCGCAGATCGCCCGAGAGGCCGAAGCCGCCATGTACCACCACCAACTCTTCCAGGAGCTGCGCCGCCTGACGCCCCTGAGCCAAGACCCCACTGAGGTCACCGCCATCGGGGCCGTGGAGGCCTCGTTCAAATGTTGTGCGGCGGCCATCATTGTCCTCACTGCGACCGGCAGGTGAGAAGAAGAAGGGTGAGACCGTTGTGTGTGGGTGTCTCCTGCTTGTTTGCACAAGGGAGGGTCTGGGGTCCCTTCCTTCCTTCCTTCCTTCCTTCCTTCCTTCCTTCCTTCCTTCCTTCCTTCCTTCCTTCCTTCCTTCCCTTTCCTTTCCTTTCCTTTCCTTTCCTTTCCTTTCTAGGTTCTTCCTTCCTTCCTTCCTTCCTTTCCTTTCCTTTCCTTTCCTTTCCTTTCCTTTCCTTTCTAGGTTCTTCCCTCCCTCCCTCCTTCCTTCCTTCCTTCCTTCCTAGGTCCTTCCTTCCTTCCTTCCTTCCTTCCTTCCTTCCTTTCCTTTCCTTTCCTTTCCTTTCCTTTCTAGGTTCTTCCCTCCCTCCTTCCTTCCTTCCTTCCGTTGCTTCCGTTGAGCCCACAATTCCCCCACACTGAGAACCAAAGTCCTGGGTTCGAATTTCCCACAGATTTTGGGGGGATTCTGTTTGATTTTTCCCCTTCTTGCATCTCCCTGCACCCCCCCCCTCCTCTCCCGCCCCCACCCCCAAATTCAGGTCTGCGCA